CGCCCGAGGGCGCCGTACCCTTCTTGGAGGCGCCGTCCAGATTGCCTCCTTCCCCTCTTCCTTACACCCAGCTCGTATGCCGGGCGAAAGCCCAAATCCATGCCGGATTGAGCGACAGCGGCGCTCCGGGCGTCGTCACCTTCTTGGGGGTGTCGTTCTTGGTGAGCTTGGGGTGGATGTGATGCTTTGGTTGCTTGGCGGCGGATTGGTCTTCAGAAGCCCTGCCGGTCTCGGCGGAGCGGTGCTTCATCCTACTCATGGATGGCGGCGTATCTCGGCGGCGTGGCGCAGTGGAGATTCGGCGTCCGATGTGTGGCGATGGACTCGCGCAGGAGGACGAAGCTGTCTGGTGTCGTGGTGACGTCGATAGCTGAGTGGCCAGACAAGGTAGAAGCCTCAATTTGATCTGAAGACGGACCTGTGGAAGATGGCGGCGACGACACACGAGTGCGTCTGACCGGATTATGCCCCAGACCCGGTATGTGGCTCGGCTGGGGCTTCCGAATGTGTTTCGGTTCCGGCTTTTGATGTTAGGCTTAGGTGAGTGGTCTGGGTAGTGGCCCAACTAGCACCCCTTCATCATTTTGGATAGGAGTAGCGGCATATGTTGCCAAGATGGTGGATTCAGGCACATTATTGTAATACTTTGTAAGGTCCTTGAGAATAATCAATAAAGTGGCCGTATGCATCTCCCAGATGCAGAGGCCGGGGGTCATCCTCCTTTTCTAAAAAAACCATGTGCGATAGGCGGAAACATCTTACCTCGCATGAGGGGACGTGTTGCGTGTTATATAGCAGGGGCGCAATAACCCTGATAGCGCATACATTCGGTTTGGGGAGAATCCAAGTTACATCTTGAGGAGAAAGAAAAGGAGGAGATAGATCTAGCTAGTTACAACAGATAAGAGATACAGCCTAACTACCGCCTGAGCAAACTACCAAACAAGATCTCTCTTGTCACGTTACAGTGTGTGTGCGCATGTATATTCATCATGTTTGACAGTTACATCTCCAAAGAGGATTCCAGCAGCAAAACTTTATGGTCAGCTTGAATGGAAGGTAGTCCAAGAGATTCATGATGTTGATTTCTTTACGAACATTATGGGAAGTGGACTTCATTTTGACTGGCGATACATTCCTAATTTACTGCTCATTTCGTAGTTGTGCACAAAATGCCTGGGCGTGCAAGTTTTATGTGAAAATGATGCACCGACGGTCTTTTGGAAGAATGGGAAAATCACATGGCTGTCGGATTGCAAGCACATAGGGCATTGCTTATGTGGCGTACAGTTCATAAAAACTTCCTGAATTGAGTATTTATTTTCAGTTCTATGCTCTGTTAGACTACTAGAGCTAGAGGTGCTAAAATCCTAGATGATGCTAGATGGTGTAATGGAATTAGTGCCGAATTATATTACAAAATGTACAAATTGGATAAGTATAACAAATCAATTAGATTTGTCAAATCTATTAGATTTGTATGTTTCTATTCATAATCATCAGTCTACAATCACCACTCTGCTCTTCCTTTCACTCTGCAGCCCTCTCTCAGGTCTTACTCTGCCCAGCCTAGCTGCCACTCTCTTCTAGAGTGGTTGTGACCCCACCACGCGCAAGGTATTCACCAAGAACTAGAAGGTGCTCTTTGCATATCATGGGTATGGCTACATTCGTGGCTGGAGGAAATTTGCGGCCATTTCAATTCAGCCTTCTCTACACCTATCGGTGTATTCATAATAGTTATGATATATGCATACCACATTATTAGTCTTCATCCTTTTTACATACTACTCCCATTTGAATACACTTTTAGAAAAAGTAAACATACCCATGAAAGACACATTCTTGCATGTACACTTCTTTTTGAAGTATTTAAAAAAACTTAGTTTACAGAGTATGAGTTGGTTACTACGTTGGAGTAATCATGGACATCTCAAATTTAGCGCCTAGGATTCCTATTTTGACTAATGTGAGTATCTCTTGGTCAGTCCTGAGATTACAAATTTGAAAATAACTCTCCTGAAAATGATGGCAAAACTCACATGTGGTCTATAAAGAAATATTTGATGATCTTGCTTAATAAATTTGCTAGCAGGCAGAAAATATATCATGTCAGTACCATTCATGTATCCGCTTTCACAGACCATCTAACATGACTTCTTATTTTATTTTTACAGGATGCTAAGGGATGCAAGAAATAAAATAGTATGCTGCATTTTGCCTACAGGTAAGGAAACATGTACCTTATTTCTGCAAAGATGTGCTCTGTTTTTTTATTCCATGAGTATTTGCATTCCCTATAGAAGCTGACTGGTTACATTTATGTTTAGTACATCATCATAATCTCCCAAATACTGCACTCATTTATACTTTCCCGCCCATGTTTAAAATAATGTGTTTTAGTTCTGATTACAACCATATAGGTATTCATGTATAAGATTGTTTGCTTTCAGTTCTGGTTAAATCATCTAGTGGATCAGGTTTCTAAACCACTATCACATTCCTGACGGAAGTTGTGCATGTAGTACATGTTTTCAGTTCAGCAAGCTCTTTTTTTAGTTAGAGATCAATTTTGAAGACTAACATGTCATATGAATGCTCCCATCTCAGCAAAAGCCTTGATCTTTCCAATTTTGTAAGTTGTGGGAATACTTTGCTACTTCAAAATCTCCAAATAAAAGTTGAGGAATTCATACGATAGTCGATTGGAAAAATATATCTAGCAGTTCAATTTGTTTCATGCGCACAATGGGATAAATTAATGTAACACAAGCCTTTGCAATTTAGTGTTGTTGTTATTAGAATCGGGAGACTTGCTTTGTTACCGTACTTAGAGTTGCTGATTGATTACTATAGTAATAGCCAGGAAGGTTTGTAGTCAACTTATCTGCAGTTGTAATTAGTCAACTTATGCTCCTTAAATTGTTGTTCTTTTGGTGACCAGTGAATGGGCAATTGACTCTCTTGTGTATATGGCTGATCTAATTGTTGGGAAAATCTTCAACACATTGTAATATGAAAGGTTTTACCCCGCAAACAAATAAAAATATGAAAGGATTTGATTATTTTTTCTTGGGACTTCTTCGTACACTTTTTACTATTGTACTCCCTCCGGTCCTTTTGACTCCGCACATTACCTTTGTCTGAAGTCAAAGTTTTCTAAGTTTGACCAAATTTATATTAGAAAATATTAACATCTATAACATCTAATAAATATAATATGAAAATATATTCTGAGATAAATCTAATAATAAATGTGTTGTTATGTGAATGTTAATAATTTTTTGTATAAACTTGGTCAAAGTTGGATGAGATTGACTTCAGGCAAACCTAATATGCAGAGTAAAAAGGACCGGAGGGAGTATTCACTATAGTTTTCTTTTATTGAACTAATTTTCCGCTTGCATTGTACTCCCTCCGTTCCAAATTACTCGTCATGATTTTAGTTCAAATTTGAACTAAAACCACGACGAGTAATTTGGAACGGAGGGAGTAGATATCAAGTCTTAGAGAAGGAAGTTTTGTATGGCAGTCGACTCTTTTCTTCTCCGATTCAGATTCACAGATAAATACCCCATTCTTCTTTTTTCAGGCCTTGATGGAGGCAGTACTTGCTAATGCAGGATGGAAAACTGCCTGTTACATGTAGTCTTTAGAACCTGTGCTGAAATGGCGCTTTATTGTTTGGAAATTGTCCGATTTTGCAAAACTTTTGGATGTATCGAATAGTTTTCAAGTTGTTTCAGTGACATCAGTTCCTGCTAAGACATTTTAAAATGTGAACCTAAATACCTGTTACCATAAGTGACCTAACTTGTGGTGGTGTGCAATGTTCACCTAACTTAAAACAGCTTGCGCCCTGTCTTTCTTCCGCAACACAAAGACTAGATTAATATACCACCCGTACGTCAAGTGAGATCAAGCATAAACTCCGAACATTCAGACAACCAACCAATATGCAGGTGCATTAGAGTATGGAAAAGGCAAAGCTCCCAAAGAGTAACTAATATTTCCTCCACCGATGATGACCAAAACAACTAAAAAATGTCAGAACTATCAACCTATACTCGCCTACATTTACCCAACTCTTATCCCGTACAAAAGTAAATAAATAAATGTACACACGGGCGTTTAAGTTGGCATGCATGCCTGTCCATGAACAAGTCTATTGATACATGGATTTTATTTCAAAGCACACGTGTTGGTGGGTCTCTGCCATTTGCATACATGATTCCAAATTGGGTCTGTGCTATCAAATTAAAGTATGTATATACATCTTATTGTAGACAACAGTCCACCATGTTTCTTATTAGAGGAGATTAAACAATGGATATTTTTTTCATTGCACACATGAATTTAGCATGATTTGGCACGCACAACGGGTCCATGATAACCATATTTTCAACTAAAATAATGCTTGGTCTGTACATGTTATACATTTTTTTTCAAACTCGGATTTCGCAGTGTAATAACCATATTTCCAATATACCATGGTTAAAAAAAAAGAACTTTCTACTATTGATATCGAATAGGTCCTTGCAAAATGAAATTATTTTCATCGACAACATGGCTTTAGCGGGTCTCTGCGCCATTTGGCGCAACGGGTCAACTAGTGAAAGTAACGCTAAGATCAAGTATCAAAATAGATTTATTGAAAATCAAAATAGATTTATATCGTCTATGAGTTTGCTGACAACAATGTCAGAAGGAGCTTCCAAAGTATTTAGTCTGACCAAAATGAGTGAATGATCTTTTTCTTAGATGAGAATGGGCGAATGATCTGAGCATGCGCACGTTAAATGATCAACATGTCAAATGAAATGAAAGTAACGCTAAGACCGGCCCACTCCGAACCGACGGCCTAGATCTTGCCTCGCTAAACCCAACGAACACGGCAACACCCAAACCCTAAGCGATCCCACATATATAAGCCCTCTCCATCGCGCGACCGCCCCAATTCCCTCGCCGCGCCACCCAGCCCCCTGCTAGCAGCAGCCGCCATGGCAACCAACACCCGCCCCATCGTCTCGGTGAAGGCCCTGGAGGGTGACATGACCACCGACTGCGCCGGCCTCGCCCTTGCCGAGGTCTTCCGCTCGCCGATCCGCCCCGACGTTGTCCGCTCAGCCCACAGGTTGCTCTCCTGCAACAAGCGCCAGCCCTACGCCGTCTCCCGTCGCGCCGGACACCAGACCTCGGCCGAGTCTTGGGGCACGGGGCGTGCGGTGTCACGTATTCCTCGTGTCCCTGGAGGCGGAACACACCGCGCTGGCCAGGGGGCCTTCGGCAACATGTGCTGTGGGGGACGTATGTTCGCACCCACCAAGACCTGGCGCAAGTGGCACCGCCGCGTCAACGTCCACATGCGACGTGTCGCCGTCACCTCCGCCCTCGCCGCCACCGCCGTCCCAGCCCTTGTCCTCGCCCGCGGTCACCGCATCGAAACCGTCCCTGAGATGCCCCTTGTCATTTCTGACTCGGCGGAGTCCATCGAGAAGACTTCTCAGGCCATCAAGATCCTGAAGCAGACCGGTGCCTATGCTGATGCTGAGAAGGCCCAGGACTCTGTTGGCATCCGAACTGGCAAGGGTAAGATGCGCAACCGCCGATACATCAACCGCAAGGGGCCTCTCGTTGTCTACGGCACTGAGGGATCGAAGATCGTCAAGGCCTTCCGCAACCTGCCTGGTGTGGATGTCGCCAACGTTGAGCGCCTCAACCTTCTCGACCTTGCCCCTGGTGGCCACCTTGGGCGGTTTGTAATCTGGACGGAGACTGCATTCAAGAAGTTTTTTTTTTAGAGAAAAGGCCAAAGCCCGACTTTATAAATAAAGCCATATGGCAGCGTCACGAATACCCAAGGTTCACACAGTCTCAGAAACAGAAAGAGAAGTTAAATAGGCCCAAATTCCTAACGAAACAGGCAGCCGCCAAACACGGCACGCAGGCCGGGGAGAGAAGGAGACCTAATCCCGCAAACTACAGCACCAGGCTTATACGCCATGATTCGTCCCGGAGATCTGAGAGGCTGAAGCCCAAATTTTGGCGATGAGCAGGTCCAGGGCGTCCCGATCTGGCTCCTTAGTCAATAATCTCCACTGCTGCAAGAATATACATGATTTGAAAAGAACGTTCTAGTGTCTGCGAAAGAGGAGGGATGCCAGAAGACCCGAAGCCATGATCTTACGCAAGACCAAACTAATTTGGCAAGAACACAGTTGAAAAAGATGTGATTAGAGTTTTCCAAAGCCCCACACAAGTTACAGAATTCCGAGCCCGGCCCATTGTGTTTTTTGATCTGATCAGCAGAAGGAAGGCGACCTCGGAAGGCTTGCCAGAGGAAAATCTTAATCTTAGGAGGGACCTTAGATTTCCAAATACAAGAGAAGCGAGCCGAAGTAGTACCACCAATGAGTCTAGAATACAACGATTTGACCGAGAATAGCCCAGAGGCCGTAAGTGGCCAAACCACAGAGTCAGCCTCCTCCAAGAGCACAGGGAAGAGGGCAGAAAGACTTTGCCATTCTTCCAACTCTTCAGGAGACAGGGCCCGACGAAAAGCCAAGTCCCAATTATTAGCAGCCACCTCCGCGATGGAGATTTGCGGATTGGGGCAATAAGAGAACAGAACCGGAAAGCTAACAGCCAGGGGAGCATCCCCGGACCACCAATCTAACCAAAAACGAACAGCAGACCCATTACCCACACAAAACTTAACGTGCTCCAAAAAAATCGGCCGAACTTTAACAAGGGCTTTCCAAAACTGCGAACCACGCCGCGCAGGGGCAAACATAGGGTTGGAGTTAGGAAAATATTTAGCCTTAAGAATCGAAAACCACAGCACATCGGCCCCAACCGTCATAATTTTCCACCACCACTTAATGAGCAGACAAATATTCATCACCCGAGTATTAATAATGCCTAACCCCCCAAGGTTTTTAGGCTTGCACATAAGCTGCCACTTAACCAACCTATACTTCCTTTTGTTATCTGCAGAATTCCAATAAAAGCCACCCCTATGTTTGTCGAAGCCAGCATGCACACCATCCGTGAGACGGTAAAAGCCCATAAGGAACAACGGGAGAGAGGATAAGCAAGAATTGATTAGAGCCACTTTGCCAGCATTGGTATTATACCTACCCCTCCAAGGAAGCACCCTATTCCCCACTTTAGCAACCACCGGAGCGAAGTCTTTCGCGTGAAGCAGACCAGGAGAGATAGGAAGACCTAAATATTTGAAAGGAAATGAACCTAAGGAGCAGTTGAGGAGTCTGGCCACCCGCAAGGCCTCCGCCCGGTCAACCCCCGTCACCATAACCTCACTCTTGGCGAAATTGATCTTAAGACCAGAAACAGCTTCGAAGCACAACAAAATAAATTTCAGATTGGCAATACAGGCATTGTCCAACTCTACCAAGATGATTGTGTCATCCGCATATTGCAAATGAGAGACCCCTTCCGAAAGTAGGTGAGAGACCACAGGAATAATGTGTCCACATCAAGCCGCTTTGGAGAGCATACAGGAGAAAGCGTCAGCCACAAAGTTGAAAAGAACAGGGGAGGCCGGATCCCCTTGGCGGAGGCCCCTCCCATTCGCAAAGAAGTTGCTAATAGCGCCATTTACGACAACTGCAGTATGTCCACCCGAGACCAACTGCATGATACGGTGAACATAGGCACCGTCGAAACCTTTGGCAAGAAGAATCTGCCTGAGAAAAGACCAGCTAACCGAGTCATACGCTTTTTCGAAGTCTAGTTTGAGAATGATAGCTTTGGATTTCCGCACATGGAGGTCATGAACTATCTCATGAAGGGAGAGAATGCCATCTAAAGTAAAGCGCCCTTTGATAAAAGCAGATTGGAAGGGACTAATAACTCTGTGAGCTACCGGAGACAGCCGGTTCGCAAATCCTTTGGAAGGGAACTTGGCAAAGTTGTTAATCAACGCTATAGGCCGGAATTGGGAAATGACATCAGCACCCTTAACCTTAGGGATCAGGGATATAACAACATAGTTCAGGCGAGAGATGTCGACAGTACCAAGACAAAAACCCTGAATAACGTTACACACCAACTGTTTCAACTGGGGCCAAAATTTCCGAAAGAAAGGGATGGAGAAGCCATCAGGCCCGGAAGCAGTATTAGTATTGGCAGAATTAACCACATCCCAGATTTCCTGATCGGAGAGCGGAATCATCAAGGAAGCATTCTCCTCAGGAGAAATTTTAAGACCAGAACTCCAGAGGTGGGGGGAGATGGACAGGCCCGATGGAGGTTTAGCCCCTAACAGAGAGAAAAGAAGTCCACCACGTGAGCCATAATCACAGATTGGTCTGTAGAGCGCATACCATTAATCAATAGGCTATTAATCTCACAATGCCTACGCCTACCGTTTGCAATCGCAAAGAAATAAGCAGTAGGAGCGTCTCCTTTGAGAGTCCAATTGAGGGTGCCCCTTTGACGCCAGTAAATCTCAGCCTGATGATGCAGCTGCAGAAGAGCGGCCTCCAGATTATAGCGAACAGCCCAACCATCATCCGAGAGCCCAATAGAGTCCGCAGTACGATCCAGCTCCAGGATCTGATTTTCAAGGAAGGCTTTGGAGCGGCGATCCTCCGCCGCACGGTTACGCGACCAGCCTCTAAGAAATTTTCGTAAAGCATAGGCACATGACTGCCAATCATCCAGAGGGCCAAAAGAGCGGGGGTTGTGAGAGAGGGATTGGGAGATTTTCGCCGCAACTATGTCAACAAAGCCATCAACAGACATCCAAGAAGCATCAAACTGAAATCTAGTCGGAGGTCTATTGCGAATGGAACCATCATCCAGAATCAAGGGGGTGTGGTCTAACCCCACAATACATTTAGCTACAAGAGAGGACCTAGGAAACAAGGCATCCCAACTGGGACATAGGAAGACACGATCAAGCACGGATCTGATAGGGTTCGCCTGATGATTAGACCAAGTAAAGCGGGCTCCCCCCTGAGGAAGCTCCCGAATGGCGTTGACACTAATAAAGTCGTTAAAAGCATTGGCTAAAGACCAGGAAAAATTATCATTATTCTTGTCAAGAGGGCATCGCAGAAGATTAAAGTCTCCCCCAATCACCGTCGGGAGAGAACAGGACTCAAGCTTGATCGAAAGTTCATCAAGGAAAAGGTGCGAAAAGGAGTGATCCGCGGGCCCATAAACAACTATAAATTCACAGAGGGCATTCATAGATCTATGCGAGAGAACAACACTAGCCCAATAAAACCCATGATCAAAAGCAACAAAGTCAAAAATATCCTTATTAGAACCGATCAGAATCCCACCAGAGTGGCCCGAAGCCGGTAAAGATTGCCACTGAAATCTATCCATACCCACGATAGCAGAAAGCTCACTGGGGGTAAAGGAATCCTTAAACGTTTCAACCAGCCCCACAAAGTCAATAGAGTTAGAACGAACCAAATCTTTCAGTTGGTCACGGCGCCCCCTAGCACCGAACCCTCTAATATTCCAGAATAAGGCCCTCATTTATACGAAAGGTTCTTGATACGGAGGCTCGACCTGCTGGGGGCCGCACAGGTTTTAGATCGTTTATTAGTACCCCTCTTAGCAAGGCAGGATGAGGATGAGGGCTGGCCACTACCAGCACCCGAAGCCTCCCCCACAACACAACCAGCATCCGCCACCCGCGAGGCAACAGCCTCTTTGGCTTTCGCAATGGTAGCTTGGGCCAATTCATTAGCCCGAATAATAGCAAGGAGCGAACTGGGAGAGCCAACAGAAGTATCAACCACCAAACCCACGTCCGACATAATGTTTAAAAGATGATCATCAGACACCGAAGGTAAAACCACCCGAACCGGAGAAACAGCGACCGATGGGGATGGGGAGGTACCTGGGGGAGGGAGGTCCTTCGCCGCAGCCCGCTTCTCCGCCCTTTCCAGAATCGAGCCACCAGAATGCGAAACCCGCCTACCTTTGCGGGCCGTGGACACCGGAGAGCGGATAGCAGGCGACCGCGCAGCAGGAGAGCCAGCGTGGGGGCCCGAGCGGGACATGGAGCCCAGATCATGATCAAGACGCCGACAGATCCCCGTCATAGATTGCTTCGAGCCCGAGGAGGTCCGGCTCTTAGCCGAGTACTTGCGAACTGAGGATTTCTTCTTCGAGGGGTGTTGTGATTCCATCATATCACGAGCAGGAGAGCTAGGGAGATCTTAAATACCCGAACGAGTGGGGGAGATAGGGCGAGCCGGGAGGTTGGAGCATGCAGCAGACACAGGAGTAGCCGAGCAGGGCGGAGCTTTAGGCAGATCAGCAGCAGCAAAGGGGGCCATCTGGACTGAAGGGGGAATCACTACATCTTCACGAGGAGCATCACCAGCAGGCGCTTGAGAATGAAACATCTCACGTTCTGAGTCTGCCAGGCTATCCCATTCAGATTGAGTGAAGCGGAGATTAGACCCAAAACTCTGATTGGGGCCACCAAAAGAACCATCCCCTTCCTTGTCATGTTTATCCGAAGGGTTAGCAGGAGGAGGGGGGAAGGTGGATCAGCCACCGTCGCCCCCTCCACCCGCACCCGCAACCTGATGCCATTGGGAGAGGGATAGACATCAATGAAGCCATGCACCCGATCAAGATCAACACACCAGACCTTCAACCGAGCAGGACCAACCTTGTTCAAAGACTCCTCATCCACCTCGATGGGTTTCCCAATCAAAACCCCAAAGGACATGAGGAAAACAGACGAGCGCAGACTAGCAGGTAGATCTTCAATCAACACCCACACTTGAGACAAAGGACCAACAGCAGTACCGTTGGATGCAGCCGCTTTGACAGAAACCACCAGTTGATTAAGAGGTAAGGTGAAGCTGGTGCAGGAAGCAATCATTCGCAGGCAATCTTTGGAGGGGAACACCACAGAGAAGTCAAACTCTGACAGCTGCACAACTTGCCAGTCCCAACTAGCCACATCCCAGATGCGAAGCCCTTCCAGCAGAGTTTGGGGGGAGATCTTTTGGTCTTTGACAGAGACAATAGCCGCATTGGACAGCGAAGGAGCCACCTCCCGAACAGGCAGGTCACCATCAAAAGCGAAGAAGGAGCAGCCAGGAAGACCCAGACCAAACTGGATGACCGTGGGAGGTTTCTGTCTATCCATGCAATTGACCGTGAGGTGACCATCAGAGCGACAATTCAAGCAGAATGGTGGATTGGTGCAGCGAGACTGAAAGTGGCCCGGTCTGTGGCAAGCGAAGCAGGTAAGCGCCGAGGGGTTGCTGTGGGAAGAGGGAGAGGGGCGGGCTTGCTGCTGCAATTGGGGAGGGGGAAGGATCCCATCCCCAGAAGCCGAACCGGGCGGCCGACGCGCCGGCCCCGCAAAGGATCGAGGCGGCGGACGAAAACCAGATCCGGCCCCAAACGAGCGAGGAGGAGGGGGAGGTAGGGGCCGAGACGGGGCCGACGGACCACGCCCAACCCCCGGAGCCGGGAGGGAAGCCGAGGACGAAGACATCCCACCGCCAGAAGCCACCGCCGCCTCCCACGGGTCCACCACCGGGGAAGGAGAGGGACCAGACCCAGAGCCCTGCAAGCCAGATCCAGTCACACCCTCCTTCACCCGCTCCGGACCCGGAGCCCAGGCCTCGCGGGCACGAGCCGCCTGCTCGCGCGCCGCTTGCTCCGACTCCAGCTTGGAGCGGAGCGAAGCCTCAAGCTCCAGCTCCACCGCGGAGGCGGGGGAATCCTCGCGGCGCCGTTTGCAACCAGAAAGCGCCTCGCAGGAAAAACCCCTAGATTTGTCCATGGAGATCACCGCAGCAAAAGGAAGAAGGAGGGGTGGAGGTGGGGGGGATCTGATGATGCGACGGATGGGAAGACGATAGCGGCGCAAGTCAGCGGCGGGCGCAGTAAACCCTAGCAGGGGGGGTATCGAGCCGCGAGGGATCCATAAATAGCCCGAGCGAGCCGTGCCCCCCTGGGCCCGGCTCGCCAAGTGGGCCGGAGAGGGACGGGGAGCCAGTAACCGGGCGGGGGGCCCACCTGGGCCTAGAAAAACCAGCGGGGGGAAATCGATAACCGAAGAGAGGGAGGGGGGGAAGGCCCACTAGCCAGCACCGCCCCGACAGGCCCAGCAGGCCCACACGGGGAGCTGGCCCGCGAACCGGCGGGCACTACACAGAGATCTGGATCTAGGGTACACGGAGCGACCAGCGGCCCCGCCGCCGCCACCGCCGGCGACGGAGCCCCCGCAGCCGGAGACGGAGAGGGAGATGGAGAGCCTCCAAGCTCCCCATCAGGAGCACGACCCAAGACACCAAGCGCAGGAGACGTGGACGCAAACTTACCAGATCTACGCCGACGCCGCGAGACCCGGAACCAGCCGTCGGCCGACGGAGACACCCCCAACGGCCGGCCCCGACCCCCGGGGGCAAACTTACGAGGGCGAGGGGCGGCGCAGGCGACCGCCACCTCCCCAGCGCAGGCCACCGCACCACCGGGGGAGGAAGGCAGAGACCGCGAGTCCTCCTCATCCGACAACAGCGCCCAAAAACGAGATCCAAGAACCGGCAGCGAAGAGAGGGAAGGGGAGGGATCCACCTGCGAAGAAACAGGGGAGGATAGGGAAGGGGGAGCTACACCTGAAGGTGAGGGCGACCGGACGCCAGTCACCGGGGAAGGGCGGGGCGCAGATCTGCCGAGCCGAGGAGGAGAAGGGGAGGAAGGGTGGGGAGGGAGAGAGGGAAGAGGAGCCATGCAGAGTTGTTGTTGGAGGAGGTCCCCTTTGCTTCTTACAGGACAGCAAATCGCATTCAAGAAGTTGGAGGAGGTGTATGGCACCTTTGATGCGCCTTCACAGAGGAATGGCTTCTTTCTGCCAAGGCCCAAGATGACCAACGCTGACCTTGGCAGGATCATCAACTCTGATGAGGTGCAGTCTGTCGTTAAGCCAACCAACAAGGAGATAAAGCTCAGGAAGAAGAGGAGGAACCCGCTCAAGAATGTGGCTGCAGTGCTCAAGCTGAACCCCTACTTTGGCACTGCCCGCAGGATGGCTACCCTCGTGGAAGCTGCTCGCATGAAGGCAAGGAAGGAGAAGATTGCTTCCAAGAGGACCAGGCTTAGCCCGGTATATATCTCTTTACTCCTTGCTTGCGATCATTGTCTTTTTCTGTATGAAAGAAATTTGCCGTGAGCTATTTTTCATGAACTGTTGATTTAGAAGTTCATAGCATAATATAGCTAAATATACATACTGGATTGTTAATTTGTTCCCTGTGATATCTGCATGCTTAACATGTATGCTTGCCCTACAAACTAAAGCCGTGTTTTCTGTATGTCAGTTCTAAACTAGAGAAACTTGTTAATTAGTAAGTCGGCTCTGCTCATGTTTTCTGTATGTCATTTACTTCTGTTGTCTGTTAGTAGCTCTATTTATGACCTTGGCAATGTATGCTAACTACATCTTTTTGCACTTCAGTAAATTATGGATAATTGTAATGATGTATGACAATGTTAGTTTTGTAGAAGGAACTTGCCCAGCATTTCTGTGAAATATTTCTTTTCTAGTTGTAATTGTAATGATGTATAACATGTATGCTTGCCCTATCTTTGATATTGTGCTAACAGTCCACCTCTGTCCTCTTTTTAGGAGGAAGCTGCCAAGGTCAAGGCTGCTGGCAAAGCATGGTACGAGACCATGATATCCGACAGTGACTACACTGAGTTTGATGTCTTCTCGAAGTGGCTCGGTGTGTCGCAGTAAGCATGTTCTGATTAAGTTTTGGGTACTAGTCCTGTCAAGTTAAGTCAGCGAGAACTTCCCAAAAGGATTCTCGTTTCTCTATAATCCTATTATTAGCTGAGTTTTTTTCCCCGAGAATTCTGCTATGTCCGTTTTGTGTTTCTGTTGTCGTGAGAACATGTATATGATGTGGTTCAAACTGTAAATTGTGTTGTGTGTTATCAATCTGGTTGGTGATTGATGCATTTCATGGCGTCTAATTAGTTCTGGGATGTTTAATTGTTATCAATCTGGTTGGTGATTGATGCATTTCATGGCGTCTAATTAGTTCTGGGATGTTTAATTTATGGGCAACACTATGTGTCGGACGGTGGACGCCTGCACAACCGTTTGATTCGGGGTCATCCAGCGGCTTGGCTCCTTCCTCGCCATTGCAACAAAGTGAGTGTTGTAGAAACATTTGCAACACACCTCTTGTTGCAGAAACATTTGCAATAGTGGTTTGGATGCAAAGTATTTTACTTTTCTTAACTTTTTTGAAACATGAGCGTCTGTTGCGGAAGGGCCTTTGCAGCATGGATGTTGTAGAAAAAATCGTCTCAACTTTTTTGTAACATGGTGTAGTTGCGGATGGACTTCTGCAACAAAAATGTTGCAGAGAAATTATTTTACGTCTCAACTTTTTTGAAACGTGGGTTTTATTGTGGAAGGACTTCTGCAACACATATGATGTTGTAGAAAAAATATCACACACAATGTTGTAGAAAAATTATCACGTATGATGTTGTAGAAAAAATATCTAAGATGGTAGAGGCACACGTCCAGAAAGGACTTTTGCAACACATACAATGTTGCAGAAAAAACATCAAAGATGACACAGGCACACGTCCAACGGTGGAGCCAGCTGATTAAAGGTTGTGCATCTCCGATTAAACTCGTATCTAACGGCTAGGTGAGTTGCAGAACTCTCCACTTGATCTGCCGGTTGATTGTAATTGTTTTTCTTAAAAAAGACGAGTTGTGAAGATCCAACAAATCTCACCAATTCTTTCTTTTTTGCAGGATAACAAATCTCACCAATTCAACCACATCTATATCCAACGATCTTCATCGCTCCAGTGTTTAGCGTTAAACATGTTTAGCACCCTCCACTAATTAGCATCATGCGTAATATCAACTTTAGAATTAACCAAGAAATTATATCCTACCTAATACTGACATGCAATTTATATCTTGTCAATTAATATGTTGCCTAATATTAATGTGCATTGTATTGCATGTATACAAGTAATAGTAACTAGCTAAGTGTCCGTGCGTTGCCAAAGACTAATAAAATATATATACAAATAGAAAATTCATGTGACATGAGAGTCAAAGGTTATTTTTATGGGATGATATCTCATGGTCATGATCTGGTAGGTACACGCATCTGTCTTCATCTTTCTTCCACACTACCTGTCCGAGTTACCATGCGACACTCCACTTCCTTCTCCCACCACGCATGCTTTTATCTCCTATTTCCCCACCTCTGCCTTGCACGACAGTATCGAGCTAGTTTTTTGTCCAACTATCATAATATTCTCCGGTAGGGCACCCCCTTAGATTATTAATGAGTTGTACATGTCGCAAATAAGAACAACGAAAATGGATACTAAATTTTTGATGAGAAATGTGAATTCAGGGCAATATCTTCGCAAGAAAATAATAATTCCAAGACAATCTTTTTATACATTCTGTCAACATTGGGACGCACATTCCACACAATAAACATGCAATGATGACGATACTTGATTAATTGTCAATATACGTCTACAATAAAGATAACCTTACTCAAAACATGTTTTTTCTAAGAAGGGAGGATAATTCATATTAGAAAAAAGGTTTGGGTTCATCTCATCGATGTTTCTCTTGTGCAACTCATCTCCGCACCTGCTCAAGAGCTTGGCCTGTCTCGAGCTCGCCACTCCCCACACCCCCTCACAAGGGCGGCCCAACCAATCTCTGAGTGCCACCGACACACATGTATGGAGCGCTCACTCCAGGCCAGACTAAACACATTGCCATTGTAGCCGAATTCAAATAGAATTAACGGGGTATCATTCACTGCTTCACCCTGCAAAACAGCTGCCTTGTTAATGATATACTTTTGACATATGAATCACAAATTATTAGCAAAATTTTAGGTTAAAATTAAGGACAAAATTCGAGGGATGTTTATAAACCTAGCGAGAGGAAGCAACTCACACTATTTGAATTTACATAATACACTAACCCTGTAGGATGCTAGTCCAACTAATGTGCATGTCATGCTCTCTCAGGGTCCTATTCATCATGAAATCATAGACCAGGATATTCCTCCCATCCATTTTTTTAGGGAAAGGATTTTCCTCGATGTTCCTCTCATCTTCATGATAGTAATAACCTAGAAACGCCACCAGTCAACTCCAAGGAGTATGCAACACTGCGGGAGTCAAAGTTGTGGTCAATCAACTCCATCAAGAATTTCAAATTATGTGCTATCTAGCACATACTTGTTGCTGATGGAACGACCACATTGATAGCTCCTACATTCTTCATGCAGGTTGCATAAAATTATGCCATAGCAGGTTTCAAACCTTCCGTGGCCGCCCATGGCCATCTAGTCGGTGGCTTTCAAGCCTTCCTTGCGCCCGCATCCCAGATCCACCACCTTCCGTTCAGGTCGCCACATAGGTAAAAAAATAGATGCACCGGCGAACCTTGGGTACCTGTACACAATAGCAGCATAAGCAGTCACTGCCGCAACGGCGCGTGTAGCAAGTGATGCACTGCCACCGGCGGAAGGATGGCAGCAGTGTCACGGAGGAGGAGGCGGTGGTTTCCTATGTCGGTGGTGTATGTGTAGTTTTTTCTCTCTCGAATATGCACGAGTGTGCATATTATATATTAAAGAAGAAAGGCAAAAGAATGCCTCCAGCAAGATCATACAAGATTCTTACATTTACTCCTCACTACTCATCCACCTATGCAATCTATGGAAGAAAGGGTCGACATTCCCCTTAAACTTCCCGGCTACCGACCAGGACAAACCTTCAGTACGAACTCTACCTAGAAGCACCTCCCTCGACGCTGATGCTTCGTCGAAAACAATAGCGTTACGATGCTTCCACAGTTCCCAGAGCGTAAGTATGAAGATGGTATGAAGATCCTTGCGCCGTAGGTTGGATGGCCCTGCTTATCCCGAAGCCAAGTGTGTAGGGAGTCCTGAACCGTCGGCGTCCACTCCGGCTTCCCCAACGCCTCACAAACCACTGCCCATGTTGATCTAGCAAACACGCACGTAAGAAGCACGTGGTTGATTGTTTCGTCCTCCTGGTCGCACAGGGGGCAAGCATCCTGATGCGGCAGCCCTCTCCTCGCAAGTCTATCTGAGGTCCAACACCGGTCTCGAAGGGCCAGCCATGTGAAGAATTTGCAAGTGGCGGGCGCCCTGGAGGTCCAAGTCATCTCCGCCATTGGCTCCACCGTACGGCCCCAAAATTTGCCGCATAAGCCGACTGCACTGAATAGTTGCCATTCTTCTCCCAAGCCCAAGATATCTTATCTGGTACGCCCATGTCCGGCTGTTGGGAACGTTGCAGAAAACAAAAAATTTCCTACGATTTCACCAAGATCCATCTATGAGTTCATCTAGCAACGAGTGATCGTATTGCATCTACATACCTTTGTAGATCACGCGCGGAAGCGTTCAAAGAACGGGGATGAGGAAGTCGTACTCGACGTGATCCAAATCACCGGAGATCCTAGCGCCAAACGGACGGCACCTCCGCGTTCAACACACGTACGGTCAGCGTGACGTCTCCTCCTTCTTGATCCAGCAAGGAAGAAGGAGAGGTTGATGAAGATCCAGCAGCACGACGGCGTGGTGGTGGATGCAGGGGTCACCGCAGCAGGGCTTCGCCGTTCTACTACGAGAGGGAGAGGTGTTGCAGGGGAGAGGGAGGCGCCAAGACTCAAGGTGTGGCTGCCCCCTCCCTCCCCCCTTTTATATAGGCCCCCTAGGGGGTGCGCCGGCCCTAGGAGATGGGATCTCCTAGGGGGGGCGGC